TTTCTCCCAAGGAGCTGGTAACACTAGCTCTTCAGGACCTTGTCGGTGATGAGATTCTATAACTCTCCTCCCTTTGTAGATACAGAGGACCTGAGGCAAGCTGTAGAGGTGAAGTCATTTGCCCAAGGAATATATTCAGGGCTGCAACTTCTCATACACTGTGAAGACAATATGTTAAAATAAATCTGAGAGGAGAGGTGAAGAAAGGTAAGAGCATCATTCAAGAACCCAGAAGAAATTTTTTTAAAGAGGTTAGAATAAGTGTACAGTTTTTGAAGTTACTAAGGAAGCAAGAGCAAATTAGCTAATTGAATTTTACAGCAGAATAGTAGTGTGGACTCTGCTAAAGATACAAATGCACACTTAATAGTCAATTGAATAGGCTACCTGGGACCAGCACATGAAGTTGAAAAATATAGCCTCATGTGAATGTGAAACTTTTGAAGCTGAGAGGTTTTAAAGTACCCACGGGGAGCCAAAGAAAATCATGGGGTTTCCAAGCAAAATTAAAAGTGAGTTAAATAGTGTGATTGCTTATTTTTGTGATACTAGTGAAATGGTGTCCTTTACAATTTATTGATCATTTGGGCTGAAGAAGATACAATTTGAACTGAGCTTTTAAATAAGAGTAAGATTTTAACAAATGTAGATGGGGAAATAAAAAATTCCTTTTAGAAATTCATTTTATTACCAACTTTACTCAGATGCAAATACTATATAAAGTAATGAATATCAGTCTTAAATAAATCAAAAGATCAAAAAAGAAGTTACATGACCCCTGAATATAATGACTTCCCCTCCCCAGATCTCACAAAATCATTTCTTTTGTACTTCTCTAACGCACTTACTATATATGATATGTATTATAGTTAATTATATGGGTGTAGAAGCAGATAGACAATGTAATATAGTGAACAGAGCTGAACTGGAAGCTTGGAGCACCTTGGTTCAAGATCTGCATCTAGGGACAGGTAGGTGGCGCAGTGGATAAAGCACCGACCCTGGATTCAGGAGGACCTGAATTCAAATCTGGCCTCAGACCAAACATTTGACACTTACTAGCTGTGTGATCCTGGGCAAGTCACTTAATCCCAGTTGCCTAAAAAAAAAAAAAAAAATCTGTCTCTGACACATACTATGTGACTCTAGCAAGTCACTTAACCTCTCAGTGTTCTAGTCAATTCAGATACCACAAATTATAGAAAATTTGAAATATAATTTCTATAGAAATTATAGAAAATCTGCACTGATAGAGGGATTATTCTCATCTAAGAGTTTCTTCCAAGGAAGCCTGCACACCCTGCATAGCCCTGGGACCAGGCTACAATCCCACACCATCTTCCTTTGTCTTCTCTCCAGGAACTCTTCAGAAGCCAGAGTCCAGTATGGACCCAGGATCTAAACTTCATTCAGACATCTTCTCCAGTGCTCCAGAAGCCATCCTCAGTCATTCCCATCCCCCACTTCAATGAGGTGGGCCTCTTGGGCTTCATAGAAATACATCACCACTTGCTAAGAGCTTGTATCTCAAGGGGAGACCTTAAATAGTATAATCACCTTCCTCCCTCAGTTGACCTCTCTAAAACAAAAGATATTTTTCATGGACTCATTCCTCAATGGTCAGCATACTCCCACCTCCGTATGCTATCCTCATCTCAGTGATTCTGAACTCCAATTTATCAATATCCCATCCCCCTCGACTATTCTCCAACAGTGTCTCTCTCCAAAACTACTGACCCTTTCGACTCTCTCTGGAATGTTTGTTCCATCATTAACAATATCTTACACCATTTACCAAGATAAACTCCAAATACGTACATGACAGACAAAAAGAGTAATGTCATAAACAAATTAAAGGAGCACAGAAGAACTTATTTTCATAACTATTAATAGAAGAGCAGGTCTTGACCAAACAAAAGAGAAACAGAATCACAGAAGACAAAATGGACAATTTTGTTTACATAAAATTTAAAAGGTTTTTGCACAAAAAATACCAATATGGCTAAAATTAGAAGGGAAACAATTAAATGGGAAAAAATCTTTGCAACATGTTTCTTTGATAAAGGTTTCATTTCCAAAACATATAAGAAACTGATTGAAATGTATAAGAATAAGAGTCATTCTCCAAATGATAAATGAACAAAGGATATGAACAAGCAGTTTTCAAAGAAAGAAAGTCATTCTATCTATAGCAATCTCCAACTCAATAATAATTAGAGGAATGCAAAAAGCAACTCAGAGATTCCACCTCACATCCATCAGATTGGCAGTTTAAAAAAAGGAAAATGACCAATGTTCAATGAGTTGTTGGAAAATAGATATATTAATATATTATTAGTGGAGCTGTGAGTTGGAATTTGAAACAGTGCCCAAAAGCTGTGCATACAGTGACTCAGAAATACCACTAGTAGAGCTATATTCCAAAAAGATCAAAGAAAGTGGAAAAGGACCTAAAACAAAGAACTAGAAACTGAGAGGTTGTCTACAAATTTGGGAATGGCTAAACATACTATGGTATAATAATATAACGGAATACTGTTGTACTATAAGAAATTGTTGACCATGACTTCAGAAAAAAAAAACTTGGAAGATTTTTGTAAACTGTTGCAGAGTGAATTAAGCAAAACCAGCAAAATGATTTATACTATAACAGCATTGTAGAGGCAAACAACTTTCAAAAGAATTAAGAGATCTGATCAATAGGATAACTAACAATGATTCCATAATTAAATATGTTACAAAATTCCTGTCAGAAAAGTCTCAAGGTGTAAGCTAAGACATATTCTGGCTGTTTAAAAAGTCTTAAAGTATAGGTTGAACACGTAAAGGATATTTGAAAGTCTTAGCCCTATTCTAAGCTTTAAGGCTAATGTAGGAATTGTTTCATTTGATTATGCATATTTGTAATAAAGCTTTGTTTTTCGTTTTTATCAAACAGGGACAACATGGTAGAGGGAAAATTAATTTTTGTTCATTTGAAAAATTAATTTTGGGGGGGGTTAGGCAATGGGGTTAAGTGACTTGCCCAGGGTCACACAGCTAGTAAATGTTAGGTGTCTGAGGCCGGATTTGAACTCAGGTCCTCCTGAATACAGGGACGGTGCTCTATCCACTGCGTCACCTAACTGCCTCGAAAAATTAAATTTTAAAGAAGAAAATTGGTCTAGGAAAAAGAGGGTTAAGGAGGTGATCTAGCCATCCTGTATTAAAAGAGAGCGACAATAATCTGACCAGGAAAAGGAAAGGACCCGAGTGAGGGAAGGATATCCTTGAGAAGAGAGTTCAAAAGTAAATCTTCAGCAATTATTAATATCTTTACTGATGTATAAGATAGGATTAGAATAATATTGAAAATATTAGTCTATTTTATCAAAATACCTCCCTAACAAATAGACCCGAAAGCCAATAATTCTGATTCATGATAAAACCCTGGACAATTTGAAATATTTTCTAGTACCTAACTTCATAGCTTACACAGAACTGGCATGTAACAAAGATGTCCTCAATTGAACTGATGAAAATAATCAATAGTGCTATAAGTGAACCTTTTCAAGACTAAAGAAAAGAGGGGCAGCTAGGTGGTGCAGTAGATAGAGGTCCGGCCTTGGAGTCAGGAGGACCTGAGTTCAAATCTAGCCTTAGACACTTGACTTGACTAGCTGTGTGACCCTGGGCAAGTCACTTAACTCCAATTGCCTCACCCCCCCAAAAAAAATTTTAAAAAAAAGACTAAAGAAAAGAGCTTTAAAGAATGCAGTCAAAATTCCCACTTTGTTATTAAAATGTATGGCTATCCCACAGAAAATATTATAATGAAATATCATTGTGCAAAAGTTCTTCAAATCAAGGACAACTATACTATTCTCTTAAGTGACTATCACTAGTATTGAGAAGATAATAAAATACTAAATAGCAATATCACCAAGTCCTCCAAGCGAATAGGCTGCCCAAATCTAGATATTTTCAACCAGACTAGTTTGGAACACTGAGTTGGGAAGCTATCTAGTAGGAAAATAAAAGATATTTTTCAAAGATATTCTAAACAATCTGAAAAAAAAAGTAAATTAAATTTATCATCATGATAACCATGGCTCATCTCCATTCACATGGAAACGCACCGTAATATAAATAAAGAGACACTGGAATAGATAGAGACAGTGAAATAATTAAACAGAATGACCAAAACCAAAAGTTTGGTTTTGGTGATTCCTTCCAAAAATGTAAAACAAACTTCTACATATGCATAAATTAATAAAACATTGCCAAGTCTGTACTGAGTTCATTAATTAATAAATAAACCATGGGGAAAATATCCTTACTGTTGATTATCTTCATTCAGTGCAAATTCACTCTTCAGAATTTTCTTCCTTCTCCTTAACTGCCACCCTGAGAAACCTCCGTCTGAGGCCCCTCCTCTCATTGGCGACTACCTCCCAAGGACAAACATTTTAAGAAGGGCTTCGGCAATTCTTCACCTCACTCATTCTAGACCCTTTAGAATTTTTTTTAGCTCACTACCTTATTGCCACCCAGACATCCTTCTTCCCGTCCTTCACTTCTGTTAAGCTCCTTGAGGATAAAGACCATCTTGCTTGCTTTTATTTGTCTCTCCAGTGCTTAGCACAATGCCTAGCTCATACTAAGCCTTTAATAAATGTTATAAATAATAATCATCTATCTATCTAAAATGTATTTTTCCATTATTTCCATTTAAAACGGAGACTTTTCTATTGTAAAAGGTAGAATCACAGATACACAGCTGAAAGGAACCCTCATGATCATGAAATCCAAAGCCCTCATTTCATAGATAAAGAAACTGAGGCCCCAAAAGGTTAAACGATTCACCCCAGGTCACAGAGGTAGTAAGTTACAGATACCAAATTCAAACCCCGACCCCATGACTCTTTCTCCCTTACCACATTGCATCTCTAAGCTCTGAGAATAGATACACTGTTGGATAATATTAAGGAAATGCCAACAACAGAAGAAGAAATACTTACTTGAACAGAAATTTACAAAAATGCTACTTGTTTCACCGGGTGCAAGAGAACCAGAAAGTACACTGAATGAAAAAGTGCCATCTTTTACTCTTTTGCCTGCGTAATTGATGTCCAAAGTCCAAGATATCTCTTGTTTTGATGTGCTAGTCAGGTCAAGAACCTGTAACACCATAAAATTCAGGAAATTACATAATGAAATAAGATAAACAATCAATATAGTAATTCTCAGTTTTCTGAATATTATTTTTTATCCTCCAGAATGGGAGCTATTGTAGTTGTATATACATGAAGAAAAAACAGAGAAGAGGATAGAGAAAGAAGTGGCACGTTATTCTTAGGGATTTATAATCTGTAAGTTTACCGTTATAAAAATAATGGCCATAATTTATATAGAACTTTATAAAGTTTACAAAATCCATTCCTCACAAACACCCTGTGAAGTAGGTTGTCTTCATTTCATTGGTTCCCTCCACCTTTTGAAGGATGAAGTTATCATTGAGACAAGTCAAGAAATTATAAGCTATTCTTCTTAGGCAGAGAGAGTGTTCTAACCAATATTTTATATTCATCAAACTGGATGCTCCTCTGCAATCTGCTCTCTCTTATTTTCTAGCCTTTACTCATTTGTCTCCTATGCCTCTGTGAATATGGCAACTTCAGGAAATTTGTGTTCTTGTTCAATTTTTTATCTGTGTCTGTAGTAAGAGCAGTACCTGTTTTATGTAGATGGTCCTTTAAGACAGAGAGATGTCAAACTTAAAAGGCCTACAAAACTCCCAAGTGTGACCAGCATTTGATTAAAACATTATTGGGAAATGTTAAAAAAAATAAATTTCATCTATTCAAAACACATACAAAGATGTCTTTGCTTCAGCAAGGGTATTTTAGTGAAACCGTAAGACAAGAACTAACAAGGTTTCCAAGATGATTTTCAAAAGTAGACCAAATCTTTATGAACACACAATGGACTGAAAGGTCTAGAGTATAAAATAGCCAGATGTCTTTACTGAATATTTGTTTTTTAAAAGGATTTGACTGTGTAGAACAAAATACTGGCTTGAAGGCTCTCCTCAGGGAAGATATATACCAAGCAAACATTAAAATTATACAAGACTATAACAGATGCAACTATGAAGATAGCTAACTGTTCAATAATCTGGTAAGTATTGACATTAAGTGAGGTATCAAACAGGGAGGCAGCTGTTCACCTAATATGTTTTCAGTGTCATGGAAGATGTTCTATAAAGAATTCAAACAAAAGAAAGCTTTCCTGTTGATAGTAAGGTACTTCAAAAGCTCTTATTTATAGATGAGGCCAAATTAATTGCATCAAATCCTGAAACTCTGCAAAATCTCCCCAGAGCTCTCCCTAGCACTCAGAAACAGATTGGTCTAACCACCTGCACTAGAAAAGCAGGAGATGAAAAATGACTATTACCCAGATTACAATATGTAGCTGAATAGTCAGTTCATCAAGTTAGTCCAAAAATGTATATATTTTGGATGGTAATTGAACTGAGTTGAGCTCAAAATTGAGAAGGAAGAAGAGATTGGGTTGGATGAATTTAAGAAGCTTAACCATGCTCTCAAAGATCCCAAATTGCTTGTTACTGAAAAAGTATCAATAACCTCTCAGTGAAACTCAAAATAGAACCATAATTTAGACATAAAGTGATATCATAAACAAACTAGAGGAGGAAGGAAGAAATTGCCTTTCAGATCTATCGATGGAGGGAGATGATCTCAGAACATAAACTGGACAATTGTAATTACATAAAGTTAAAGTTTTGAACAAACAAAACAAATCCAGCTAAAATCAAAAGAGAAGCAGATTAAATGGGAAAAATCTTTGAAGCAAGTTTCTCTGATTGGGGTCTATCCACTGCACCTCCTAGATGCCCCCAAAAACATTTATAGCAACTATTTATTCTGTCAAAGAACTGAAAACTAAGAGAATTCACATCAATTGAGGAATGACTGAATGAATTATTGTATATAAATGTAATGGAATAAAACTGTACTACATGAAATGATGAAAGGGACAGTTTCAAAGGAACCTCAGAAGACTTGTATGAACTGATATGGAGTTAAGTGAGCAGAATTAAAAGAAAGGTTTACAATATACCAACTACACTGCAAAGACAAACAATTTTGAAAGAATTAAGAACTCTCCTCAATGCAATGATTTACCATGGTTCCATAATACCAATGATGAAGCACGCTACCCCTTGTCTGACAGATGATAGTATCAGAGTACACAATGAAGACATATCTTTTTGGACATGCATAGTCAATGCAGAAATTTGTTTGCTAAGGTTACCATGAAGTGGAAAGAAGGGTATTTCCTGTCTTCTTGAACTAGTTACTCTGAGACCTAATCCATCAGTATAACCAAAACAGGCTTTCTTTCAATGGTACTTATTTAAACATGGGGGTGGAACAAAGACAGATTTTTTCAACTACTGAATTCAGCAATAAAGTACACACTTGACTAAGTTCAGATATAGAGTTGACATCTTATTTTCAGAGTTCTATATAATTTAAAACATTTAACATTATATTTTACTTTATATTAAATTATCTCAGCTCTTCTCTTCCATATATTTTTCTTTCCTGAGGTATACAGATTATTTTCAATCGCCTGGGTTTTAAGAAAGAAAGAAAAAAACCATTGAAGATTGAAAATGTTGCTCAAAAATACCCATTATTCTTTGATATTTAAAAGGATGTGTGATTTCACAATTGTTTTAATCTCTTGAACAGTACTCATGTCAAACCATGTTTTCTTATAAATCAAAGAAAAACTTGGAGGACATCAAACAGTTTCCCAAAAATATCCAGTCCACTATTCTCCTACTATTTGATGCAGGGTCCAGTTCATCAGCCACTAAAGTGTCTATTCAAGATACATGTACAGAGTGAAGGGTCACAACTACCAAACTTCACCCAAACCCTCTCCTAAAAATGACCATAGAAAATTACCTCTCTCCCTCTTTTACGCCTCCTATGATATTTTCAAAACTTGAGAGTTAACGTAGTTGTCTAGTGTGTAATGATGTTTTTGTTTTTGTTGTTGTTGTTGAGTGGTTTTTCAGTCATATCTGACTCTTTGTGATTTTTTTTTTTTTTGGCAAAGATACTGAAGTGGTTTGCCATTTCCCTCTCCAGCTCATTTGACAGAGGAAGAAATTGAGACAAACAGGGTTAAGTGACTTGCCCACGGTCACATAGCCAGTAAGTGTCTGAGGCCAGATTTGAACTCAGGAAAATAAATCTTTCTGACTCCAGGCCTGGCATGCTATCCATTGAGCCACCTACTTATGCTATGATGATAGCTAATGATCTCTAAAAGTTAGTGCCCATAATAATTTTAAAATATGTCTATGACATTAGCAAAAACAGGATGGGAACTAGATCTATGATTTCATTAGTTCAGGGAGCTTCCAGTGAGGAATTTTCTCCAGCAGTACAGGTCAGGACCTTCTCTGCACCTCAGATTCTTAGAAAGCCTCCTAGAGCACTGAGAAGTATAGTGACTTAGCCAGAGTCAGACAGCTAGTGTGTGTCAGAGATCGGACACAAATCCAAACCTCACTGGTAGCCCTCTGGCCACTATGGCATGCTTCTCATTTAAAAAAAAAAAAACTAGTAAATAAATAGAATTGTAAACTATGATGACATGGAAAGAGCACTGATTCTATACTGAGAAGATCTGGGTTCAAATCATGCCTCTGATGTTTAATACCCATGCAATCTTAGGCAAATTAAGTTCCCTAGAACTGAGATTCCTCAAACATAAAATGATGGGGTTTAAGTAAATGGCCTCTGAGGTCGCTTCTGGTTCTGGGACTATGATCTGCCAGTTTTCATAAGTCACATGATAAAACAGAGGAGCTTAAATACTCATTCATATTGTCCCAACTGAATGAAATTCTACTAAAAGATGAAAGAATATTAATAGTTAAGATATAACTATGTCAGAACAGACAAAACACACAGACTGTCTCCTTTATTTTTTTTCCCACTGCCTAACTACATATTGAGGGGTTTCTTCTTAGAGCAGAACCAGAAGCTATTGGGGCAAAGGAGCAGAGGTAAAGGGAATAAAATAGGGCTAATGTATTGTTTATTTGACAAATACAAATCTGCATTTTACAATTTTTAATCCTTTTTCCACCTATATATGTGAGTGGATATATCAACGAGAAAACAAAATAATTTAGATTATGGAGTTTCCATATTATAGAGTCTTATAAGTTTGCCTAGGATGCTGAAAGATTAAATTATTTTCCTGTGTCATACAGTATGTGTCAGAGGCAAGACTTGAACCTAGGTCTTCTTAACTCCAAGGATGCCTCTATATCTAACACATTATATAACCTCTCTAAGAGGTTGCTACCTTGCTAAGGTAGCTAGGTGGCACAGTGGATAAGGCACAGACACTAGAGTCAGGAGGACCTAGAATATAAATTGCAACTCTGTAACTATAAGTCACAAGAGCAGGACCTGCTTTGGTAGAGGAAGTTGGCTCGCTGAAATTTCCCTATGAGCTCCTTTCAATGAAGAAATCACAGATCCAATTCAAATACAGATATCTAGATAGATATAGATAGATAGATAGATACATACATACATACATACATACATGCATATTTATTTATTTATTTATCCTGCATTTTATGGTAGGTACCATGTCTTATTAAGTACTTAGAATATTTTTAATATCCATTTTTTTCCTTTACACATCAAAGCAGATATTAAGAGCAACACTAATAAATTTCTCCATTTGGTATGTATACGACAAACTTGAAAATTCCTCAAAGGAGATCACTTTCATTATTCAGTATTGAAAAGCTCAAACAATAAATTAAAAGCTATAAACACAAACACTACTATAAAAATGACTTAATTTTGTATGCTTACCTGATCATTCTGGTTTTCATTACAAAAATCCAATGTCACATTACTTAAAGGAACTTCAAAGGAAAATTCTGTATTGGATAATTTCAGTGGTGGCTGTAATACTAAGAAAGAGGAAAATTTTATTATATTTATAATTCATAATACCAACACATTACTAATTTTCAAAGTATCATTCAAATTGAAAAAATGCAAGCCAAGCATATTTAATATGTAATCTTAGAACCAGAATAGTTTTACTTCTATATCGCCCCTAAGATTCCTCTAAGGATCCTTCTAACCACTAATTTTTGTATTCTATCAGTGATCAATCCATCAGCATGCATTTATTAAGCACCTGCCCTGTGTCAGGCACTGTACTAAGTGCCTGACTTAGGGCTAACACATCCTCCAGTAGCTGGGGGATACAAAAATAGAAATGGAACTCATGGAGTTTATATTCTGTCACTAACAGCATATATAAGCCTATACAAAATATATACAGCAAAGGACCAAGTTAATTAGGTGTAGAGGAAGGTATTCACATTCACAGATGGTGATGTCAAGAAAGGCCACATATACAAAGAGGCTCTTGGGCTGAGCTTTTTAAAAAAATTAGGAATTTGAATGTATAGTGACGAGGATGGTATGCATTCCAGACAAATAAAGAACGTCCATGTGAAAGCAGAGATGGAGCATGATGTATGATGAATGAATAGCAAGGAGGCTAGTTTGGTAGGACTAGAAAATGTAAAAAGAGTAATGTATGACAGTAAAGGGCTTTATATGCTAAACAGATTTGTCTGTATTTTATCTTAAGGTAATAGGGAATCACTGGAGTTTATTAAGTAGGGGAATGACAAGGTCAAATCTATGCTTAAGGAAAATCACTTCAGCAGCCATATGGTGGATTGGAGCAGGAGGAGACTTGAGGCAGGTATGCCAATGAGGAGGCTATTGAAATGGTCCAAGTGAGAAGAGATGGGAGCTTGAAATAAAATGATAGCTGCATGAATACAGAAAAGTGGTCTGTGCAAGAGATGTAGAGGAAGAGATAACAGGATATGGGAGGTGGGGAAAATAATGCTGAGGCTGAGAACTGCCTAGAAATGTTTCAAGCACATGATAGGCTGTTGATTAAGGTCCAGCTTAGATAACTTCAGAGATTTTCACCATCAGAAGGTTGGCCACCAGTTAATAATCTTATAGACGCAGGAACTGAAAATAGACATCTAGTAAGGAGTTGAGGAATTCTGAACTGATTGAGAGAATTCATTCACACTAATTAAATCTTAAGAATTTTAAATATTACAATAAATTTTTAATGAATTTTATTATATTTTAGGTCCCATATCAAACTTTTTTCTTCAAATTAGCTCATATATATATATAATCCTTAGCAAGAAACCTGATAAATTTACTTTTAATTTTCTGGGTATTTTAGCTTTTCAGCACAGAATGCAAAGATTTAGGTCATTTCAGGGAATAATTTGACATTATGACAAAACAATATAATAATGTAGAAGACAAGATAAGAATCAGTGCTTCTGATTCAGTGACTTAATTTTTCATTATTTTAACTCAATTGAAAAAGAGGCATTATTTTGAAAATCATGAGTTTGCTAAGCTAAAGTTGGAAAATCATATAAAATTCAGAAAACAAAATTAGAAGAAAAACATCTTATTTACTTCAAAGGAAGTTATACCATAAATTAAAGAAAATACTAAAGCATAGCATGTGTGCATAAGTATATTCACATTTATAGTTTTATAATCCATCCCTTGATTTAAGAACTTGCAACAAGTGATGTGATGGACCTTCTACTGGCCAATACCAACCCCTTGATTCCATTCCCCTCCAGTCTTCTCCAGAAGATTGTGTCCACTACAATCTTCAATCTCTCCCTAAATACTGGTTCCTTTCCTCCTACCTATAAACATCCTCATGTTCCCCCCAATCTGAAAAAATGCCTCACTAGATTCTACCATGCCCACTTCCTCCAGCTCCAACTCTGACACTATCACTCTCTATCCGCCTTCCTTTTTTCAGTTGAAGTCTGTAAAAAAGCAATCTACATGAGGTGCTTATATTTCTTCTCCTCTTACTCTCTTCTAAACTTTCTCCCCATTCTGGCTTCAAACTTCATCATTCACTTGAAACTGCTTTCTCCAAAATTACAATCTGCAATGTGTGGTATATAAAGCTTGCACAGATATCCCCTGTCTTATTCTGGCTGACCATATCTATGAATCAGCATTTGAGTCCTTTGGGTAGGATGAACTTCCTGGCTAATTTTTACCACATGGTGGCTCAGCACTAAAAGGAGCTTTTTCTTTGATTTGACACAGAAGACCCTGAGTGATCCCTTCATTCACTTCTGGGACATGACAACAATAAGAGGGCAGACTGCTATGGCAGTTAAAAGAAGATTCCCCTAGCAGATGACTCTCTTCCATTGACTCTTCAGAGAGAATAACCTGGAGACTTCCCATGAGGGGTTAGAAAGGACTAGCCCTTCTCCACACATGATGCTAATGCCCACATGGAAACTAAAGGGGGCTCAACTAGACACTTTTAACATAGTCCCCTTTCTGTCTTTTTCTGTCCTGGATAGACATCATTTTCAAGATGGATGTGTTCAGCTTGCAAGTAATTTTGTGAGTCTGAGAAATTCTGGGTCTCTAAGGTCAGAGCTCCTCATTCTGAGAGCTCTGTAGCCTTTGACACTGTATGTTAAGTTATTCTCCTGGATATGCTCTTCACTCTAGGTTCTCTGGACACTGCTCTCAGCTAGTTCTCTTCCTAGCTCAATGACAATTCCTTCTCAACCTCCTTTGGTGGATCTTCTTCTAAGTCACAGTCACTAACTGTGAATGTCTCCAAAGTCTCTGTCCTGACCCCTCTTCTCCTTTTTCTATACACTATCTTACATGATGATTTCATCAACTTTTATGGGTTCAGTTATCATCTCTAAGATAATGAATCCCAAATCTCTATATCTAACCCTACTTTCTCCCCAGTGCTTGGTCCCACATTACTAACTCCATATTGGACATTTTGAACTAATTGTGCCATAGGCATCTTTTTCCCAAAGCTCATGCCCATTCTGAACTTCTCTATTATTGCCAAAGATACCACCAAAACTCCCAGTCACACAGATTTACAACCTCAGTCTCATCCCTCAGTTCTCACTCTGACTTAGCCCATATATCTAGTTAGTTACCTGTTTCTACCTGAATGACATTTCTTATAACATCCCTTTCTTGACACTCATGCCAACCACTTCCCTAGTTTATACCCTCATTACCTCTAATCTGGACTACTGCAATAGCCTTCAAAATTGTCTCCCTGCCTCAAGTTTCTACTCACCCTAATCTATCCTCCACACAACTGCCAAATTAATTTGTTCATACATAGGTCTGATGATCTCAATCTCTTAGTCAATGAACTTCAGTAGTTTTCTGCTACCCCCAGGACCAAATATAAACTCCTTTGTTTGGCATCTCAACATCTTCTTTACAACTGAATAGCTTCCTACCTCACTAGCCTTATAGGTATTACTCCCCTCCACCAAACATACTAACCTAGTTGGCTCGGGTTCCTTGCACACAACACTCCAATTCCCATTTCTGTGCCTTTGCAATGACAGTAGCCCATGGGTAGGGGAATGTGCTTCCTCTTGACTGAGAGATCTTTGAGAACGGGGACTATGTTTTACCTTTCTTTGTATCCCCAGTGTTTAGCACAGTGCCTTACATATAGTAGATAGAATGAATTTTTGTTGATTGACTTTAATGCATGACAGAATTTTTTCAATATATATAAAACCAAAATCTCTTTATTGTACATTTTAAAACACCGAAAGAGATAAAACTGCAGTTACATTAAAAAAAATTATGGCAACTAAGTACACTTACCTGATGTGAGCTACCTGAACACCCTCTGTTCTGTCTGTGCTAATGATGTGAAGTTATTGCTATGGATTATAATATGACTGTGTTATATATTTTTAAAAAAGCTCTCATATAACCTAGCCTCTGTTCCTTCTAAATCTGGCATATAAATTTTATTGCAGTCCTAAGGTTTCAAATATTTTGTTTCCAAAACCAATCATTCAATTTACCTACCAATTGCTTTGACACTACAGGGTGGTACCAATGGAGCTATTAACGGGACTAAAGAAGCAGAGCATTGAGTATCAAAAGACTGTGTTGTAGACCAAAGATAGGAGAGTGTTGACGAATCAGTGAAATTAACACTAATTGGAAGACTGAAGTCATATGCTGCCACCTAAGGGACAAAAATATATGTATATATTATCTGTGATTAAATACATTGTGTAACAAATTATCTTGTGACACTAATACCTTAAACTTTCTAATACTATTTAAATTATTTTTTAGGGATAAATTGATTATTTTACTAAATTTTGCCCTATTCATTAATTAAAGTTAATAAGATAAATCAGAGGTCCACAACCAGTTGTTTCCAGAATCCAACAACCCTTCTAGCATTCATTCCCAATATCCATCCAATCATATTTCCTTTAATCTATAATGTTAACCTTCTTATTTTTGGTATACCCCCTCATGCAAGGGCTTAGTTTTGCTGAGGAAGGTGGGGTTTTATTTATTGGTAAATTCACACTTTACAAATACACTGATCATTCTCAGAACTTTGTGCCTCAGTCTACCTTAATTAATTTTAATTATCTCAAAAAAATCATAAATTGAAATGGGAGTCTGGAGGAGGCAGCAGATAAAAAAGAAAGAACAACCAGAATATACAAAAATGGAATAGACTGACTATAGAGAAAGAAGATTGCCCTTCATTAGAGGTTCTCAAAGGCCACTTGGTGGGTAGGACATACAGGTGACATATGTGCAGGTCTGAGTCAGAGTAAATGACCTCTTAGGTTTCTTAATTACAAACAAGATTATTAATTGAGTGGCATCAAACATAATGGAGTAGCACTGGCAGAGAAAGGATAATTTTTAAAAAAGAAAATAGATGAAAATTATGGATATGAAAGAAAAACTATAAAATAAAAAGTTAGGGACATTGAAAGGGTAAGGAGTAATCTGCTATAAAGAACAAAATTATTGTTTAGTTGTTATTTTTGTCTGTTAACAAAGATAGTGTAGGAGATAGCAGATTCCAACTTTTGGTGGATTGTTGCAGGAAGGATAGAGTAAAACAGACACATGGAATCTTTAAACTTTGTTCCAGGTGCCACGTGATGGCTCTAGAGCTGAAGGTCATAAAATGAAACCATAGCAATGTTGGAGGATGAGGCTGCTACAAGACTAGGCACTCTCCAGAGAGTTTGTAAAAGCTCATAAGAAACAAATCATTAGCTCAAGAAGTGGATGGTTCTATGCTAAAAGCAAATGGAATGCCCTAGATTTTTTTGTTAAGCTGACAGAGGACTTTTCAGGGTTTCTAGCCCAAAACTGTGTATGGGCCTCCACCTGCAAGTACTTCCCATAGCCCAGGACCAAATATCATAATCTATTTGCTAGAAAGGGCAGGCTGCCTGTTGGACCACCTCTTACTTCTATATACTTCTTACTTGCAGAGTTTGTTCCATGCTATGTGTGTTTCCAGGAGATGTAATCTTGAACAAACAGCATAATTCCTCTTCACCTGAAGAAGGATTTCAAAGACGTAGGAGGAGCACTAGGGGAAAGTTAGTAAATGCTAGAATTTTGCAGTTTTATTGCAGTCTTGTCATGAGAGTCCCTTGGAATTAGGGTAAATGGAGCCAAGTAAATAAGAATAAGGAAAAGAGATAAGAGGCTAAAGAGATAGAGAAAAGATAGTGAGTCTGTAGGGCTGTTGTTAAGCACATCCAGGTTCACCTTTCCATAAGATAGCTGAAGCAAGAGGTACGTCTAAGAGCAGATGATTCATCCAGCTGGTGAAGCACCTCCCTCTTCTTCTTTACCAGCCCTTTCTTTTAAAAGGAGAGAGATTTAAATCCGGAATTTTCTGTTCTTTAAAGATTTTTATTTGTGGTGTTAGTGCGGTCTTATAAATGAGAAAATAGATTAAATTCTTCCATTACAGCCTTTTGTATGCTGTTCATCTCAGCAACCTGTAGAAAGGCTTTTCTTTGTCATGCAGCAAGAAGACAGGAAACAGTCACATAACATATGGTATGCTCTGAACTGGGGGCCACGACTCTCTGTTACACATCATGCGTTTCTACAGGCAGTTTTGTGGCTCAGGACCAAATCTTAAAGCCAGGCTATGAGTCATGAGTAAGTAGATTTAAGAGGCATAAGGAGTTGGCAAGCAAGTTGATAAGCACAAGAAGCTTGAGATGATTTTATTCCTACCTATCCTCATTGTCCCCTCTAAGTTAGTTCAAATGTTGTGGTCTGTTTCTGAGTAAGGGGTAAAATCTCTAGAGGTCTGGACTAAGAGAAGATAAAGCCTATGAGGCTAATTAAAGGAAAAAGTTGAGAAAGATGATTATGTTCATATTCATGAGGGTGAGGACCACCCCCTAAGGAGTAGCACTTCACCTTATAAGCCAACTCTGCCAAATAATACCACCATTTTGTTATACTTCAAAAGAAATTGGATCCTCTATTGGATATGTAGGTTTTCCTCCAAGAGTTTAAGAAGACTTCTGATATATTTTCCTCGATCCCAATATGCCAATCATCAGATTTACCCAATCAGGCAAAGATATTGAAACATTATAGAATTATGCCAACTACAACTACAACCCTGAGCTAGTAATTACCAAAGAATATCTATTGCCAATTTTTGTATATTTGACTACATTTATCTTCAGTGAATCTAACCTGGTCATACCCATACCAGAAAAAATATCCTCAATTGAACTTAATCTTAAAATAACTTTGCTAAAAAGAAAGGGAAAATAGAATCCCAATTTTTTTAAAATGAAAATTCCACAAATTAAAAAAAAATATTTGAGATGCTGCCAAGCCCCTGACAAAATAGCGCTCCCTAGCTACTCTCCAGACCTTACAACTTAGTTTCAGGTTTATATCTATCAATTATATCTATTAATGCTTTGGAATATATTCCTTTAATTACTTCCCCATGACCAACTAAGACATTAATCACATATAACAGACAATTTACTTAAAATATAAAGCCAGGATAAAATCAGGAAAATATGTTAATAGAACAAATGTTAATAGAAAATACTAACAAAGTAAATCACCTTTACCCACATTTTTATGTGAGAACACTTGTTTTGGGCAAGACACTCCAAGGTAAAAGCACTTGTAGCAATGTGTCAGCATGAGAACTTGGGATAAAAGTGAAAACTTTGTTTTCCCAAGGCACAGCAACCTTGTAAATAGGACTTTGGGATAAAGAGAAAATTGAAGTCATTTAAGTAGGTTGGCTTACCTGGAAATAGATATTGAGTAAAGAAAGATATTAATGAAAAACAATTATATTAATCAGTTTCAGATAAGTAGTTAAGACCATAAGGGGTAACAATAAGCAAGTGTACAAAAGTTAGTCAGAGGAGCAAAACACTTCATTCTTCAAGGGAGCAAATAAGGAGAAAGGGGATTGAGGGGTATAAAAGGATAAATGCTTCCCTATAATTTACACTGTATTATCAAAAGCTATTGAGTATATATTGTATGTAGGGTATTACACAGTGGAAATACAAAGAAGTATAAATCAGCATACTGACTGATAAAGGCAGACAAAAGCTGACTGAGGAGAAGAAAGGAGCAAATAACTAGAAAGGGTCACTTCAAGGAAGAAGCCTGTCACATCAAAGTAAAGTGAGCTTTGATGCCAAGCTTAAAAGCAAATTGAGACAAAAATATAATAAAATAAGTGGTGTTACAATAAACTCTGCAAGTGATTCCATGGTGTAAGAATCACCAAAATGGTTCAGAAAAGCAATCAAACAATTATATATCAAATAAGGACAGAAATTAAAGTGCTTAAAGAAGAAATCAAATCAAAGAGTAAAGAATTAATATCAAAGGATATTCTTCAAAAGAGCATGTTCTCTGAAAAGAGAGAATGAAAGAATTGAAATACAAAAATTCAAAGGCAAAAGCAAAATTAACTTAATACAATCAAAATAATAATATTGATAGCTCACATTCATGAAGTGTATAAGGTTCACAAAGCATTGTCAATATATGCATGTACGTGTGAGCTTATACTTGAAGAGGTGTAGAGGTTTGGGGGTGATGGGACAGAACCCCCAAGATAGTGGTGCCGAGTCTGCTTGAATGAATTCAACCCAAATATTCTTCCAGCCAGAGAAATAATTTATTAGAGATAAAGCATATAGGCCAGACTCCCAAGGAACCCAAACATCAGTAACGCCCATAAGGACGAGCGGGCATTAGACATTCTCAGCCTTTTGGACATGAGAAAAGCTCAGTGTCTGAATGGGGGAGGCCAGGTGACATCCTTGCGGTTTTCTCTCTAGGCTTGAGAGATTCTCAGCATCAGAATGGGGGCAAAGGTGGATCTTAAATTCAGAAAGACTGTGGGAGGGATCTAGGAGTGGCCAAGTAGTTTGGGGTGATGGGAGGAAGGGCCTAGGGAGATCTGGATGGGAGTGGCTAGTAAGCTGGGGTGAACAGAACTCCTGGGCCCTGGACCTCTTGGTGCCTAGCTAGGATTAAGGGTGGAAAATGGCCAGGAGCCATAGGAAGGTAAAACAATGGGGGGGAGATTGGGTGTAGCCACAGTGAAAGGCCAGTTGATGGGAGGAGGTGGTTGGGAAAAAGGGTCCAGGTGAGAGTTCCTTTTGGAAGGTCTGAGAGATTGAACAGACAATGAGAGTAGATAAAGAAGGGAACTGGAAGGGGGAAGTTTGCTTTCAAAGGGAGCTGGGACCGGTAGACAAACTTCTTTTTAGGGCTAGGGGCAAAGGTGCATTTGAATAAGATTAAAAGGTAAGGCTAAGGCTTTCAAAGAGAGATAAAATGAGTCTACAAGGAATCTAAAGTTTAAGGTTTTTCTGGGAATTGTAGACAAATCAGAGCCAGGTTCTTTTTAGGGCAAGGGAGGAAAGCTCATCTGAGTAAGATTAAAAGGCCAGGCTGAGGCTTTGGAATGGCAAAGGTCTTGGCTTCTGAAACTGAATGAAACCCCGTCATACTCACACACACCACACATATAATTGTGTATGTTTGTATATGTATAATCTAATTTGATATGATCCTTACAATGATCATGTGAGCTAGATAATATTATAGCTAGGTCACACTTAATGTGAATTTGAATAATGCAAAATTTGATTTACTATGAATTATAAAATGATACCA